TATCTGCTCCACTGTGGACCTCCATGGGCTGCAGGAGGACAGCCTGTCTCACCATGGTCTTCACCACGGGCTGCAGGGGAATCTCTGCTCTGGTGCCTGGAGCACCTCTTCCCCCTCCTTCACTGACCTTGGTGTCTGCAGGGCTGTTTCTCTTACATATTCTCACTCCTCTCCTCCAGCTGCTGCTGCACAGCAGTTTTCCCCTTTCTTAAATATGTTATCACAGAGGTGCTACCACCGTTGCTGATGGGCTCGGCCTTGGCCAGCGGTGGGTCCATCTTGGAGCTGACTGGCATTGGCTCTGTCGGACATAGGGGAAGCTTCTAGCAACTTCTCACAGAAGCCACCCCTGTAGCCCTCCCCACTACCAGAACCTTGCCATGCAAACCCAATACAGGTAGTCTGTTAGTCTGAAATAATTGTTTCAGTCTTCCTATACCTTTTGGAAGGGTTATTTCTTTTCAGTGATATATTGATTTGTTTTTCTTTAAAAAAGATTTGGTGCACATTTAGTTGTATAGATTTCTGTTTAAATATTGTCTGAATACTATAATTCAACACAACCATAAATCAGTTCCAGCTGATCAGGAAAAAAACCCAATCAAAATTAGCTCAGTAATTAAAGACAGTCACTTAAGCTTAATTAATTCATTGTTTAGCATCTAATCTGATCAATACTTCTTCAACCAAATCATTGGTACTATCAATAGCAAGAGTTTCATCCTTCATTTAATGAATTTTGATGCTTTTAAGGACACACAGGGTGTGTTCATTCAGTAGTTGATCGTAACAAGATCGTGGCTTTCTTAATGAAAGGACAATGTTGAAAGGCAAAAGAAAAAAATAGAACTTAAAATCCACAATAATGACTCCTGAATGCTCCGATATTCAAGCAATTTTGTTGACTCTATTAGTCCTCTTCTGTCCTTTGCAAGATGTGCTCTGCCCTCTGCTGATTATATGGATAAGAAGACTAGTTACTTACTTCGCTCCAGTAAGAGAACAGATTTTATTTAAGTAGTTCTTTGGTACTATAGCAACTCACTTCTGCTAGTTTAAGTTAATGTAAAGAGTTTCAGTTTACTCAGTCAACAGAATAATTTGAGAAATACCTTAATATTATATATTAATGACCAATGAAAATTAATACTACTTGTTATTTCTTCTTCAGTAGTACTCAGTAGCATTATGTGCTAAGCAGCACATATTCCCACTCCCAGCTTTAACAGTTTACACAGAAGGAATGTGTTTCTTGCAAATTCACACCATCAGTGTCTATGTAAGTGACCTTAATTACGCTGACAATTTCACAGTCTTTAATATCCTTTATATTGCAACATCTCTGCGAACTAAGGAAACCCGATTGTTTCACACACAGAAATAGAGATGTGGAATGGATCAATTTTGTCAGATGTGTGCCTACTAAGAGTGAGGCGGTAGGCTAATCCACTGCACAGCTTTAATTTTAGTCCAGTATGGACTGTTTAAATGACTTTGTTTGCAACATTGGGATCTTAAACCAACAATGGCTCCTGACAAGTAAAGAAGAGGAAGAAAATCGGGTATGCACTTCTATATTGTTTAAAAGCAATGATAAAGAAAGCACTGACTAACTCTGGTCCTTCAACTTTTGGCAATTGGTTCACCTCCTCAAGGCATCCCAGCTGTAAAATGCCGGGGGGGTTCTCAAAAAGGTGTGGAGCTCCTGTATCTGGTACATCAATAGTACTACAGTGCTTTATTTGCATGAAGTTTAAAATCAAGGTAAGCTTGGAACAAACTGGCTGCTTATCCAGACACCTTTGGCCTAGAAAGAGCTCAAGAACAAGACTTTCTTGCTATGTTTCCAGTGAAACTGTGCGTCAGCCAGGCCAGGAAAAGCTTCCCACACTATTTCAGGTCTGGTATTTCTACAGAAATAGGAAATGCAAACATATAAGAAGACTGAAAGAAAACAAAAGTAAACTTTTTTGAATTTCCACAATTGTTGTGATATGATTCCTACCTTAGCTGAAGTAGTTCAAATGTTAGAGGTATAAAGGTGTAGACGTTCCCAGAGTTAAAATCAGATTAAGTACTTTGGGATGAGATGTCTGCACTATGATCAGTTTCTAGCATCTTTATAGGTCAGGTACCTATGGAAAACCTGGGCATTTTTGTTCCTTTGAACAAAACTTGCAGAAAAAGGCAACATCAGGCTGGATCAATAGGCCGAGGCCAACTGTATGAGGTTCAACAAGGCCAAGTGCTGGGTCCTGCACTTGGGTCACAACAACCCCATGCAACGCTGCAGGCTTGGGGAAGAGTGGCTGGAAAGCTGCCTGGCGGAAAAGGACCTGGGGGTGTTGGTCGACAGCCGGCTGAACATGAGCCGGCAGTGTGCCCAGGCGGCCAAGAAGGCCAATGGCATCCTGGCCTGTATCAGAAATAGTGTGGCCAGCAGGAGCAGGGAAGTGATCGTGCCCCTGTACTCGGCACTGGTGAGGCCGCACAGGCTTGAATACTGTGTTCAGTTTTGGGCCCCTCACTACAAGAAGGATGTTGAGATGTTGGAACGTGTCCAGAGAAGGGCAACGAGGCTGGTGAGGGGTCTGGAGAACAAGCCTTATGAGGAGCGGCTGAGGGAGCTGGGGTTGTTTAGCCTGGAGAAAAGGAGGCTGAGGGGAGACCTCATTGCTCTCTACAACTACCTAAAAGGAGGTTGTAGCAAGGTGGGTGTCGGTCTCTTCTCCCAAGTAACTGGCGAAAGGACGAGAGGAAATGGCCTCAAGTTGCGCCAGGGGAGGTTTAGATTGGATGTAAGGAAAAATTTCTTTACTGAAAGAGTAGTTAAACATTGGAACAGGCTGCCCAGGGAAGTGGTGGAGTCAC